TATTTTCTTATACATTCTTATACAGTTTTTTCTATAATCTTTTTTTGCTGCTGTAAACACCAGAATGTATCCATCTTTGGACAATAAAGGGATATTCTATTGTATTCTATTTTATTCGCTGCTCTGAATATCGTACCTGTCCCCTGACCAGTCCTTTCTGTCCCGGAGCAGGACAGACATACACCTCCTTCACATTTTTCAGACTGGAGTAAAACACAAAACACAGTCGACCCTCAATGCAGTCCGGTCTGTCTGAGGAAAGAGAACGATTCAACACTGAACGACGTACGGAACAACGGTTAGAGAACAGCAATGACTCAGATTAAAGATGGACTCCAACCTGTGACGATGTCCAAGCCCCTCTCAAAGCCGGCGAAGAACTGCTCTCCTTCCAGCAGGTCACACAGGTCTGAAGGCTGCGGTCCGTCATATTGCTCAGACAGAGACTGAACTCGGCCCTCTACCTGCACAGAAACCGTTAAATATTAAAGCCTGAGGTTTCACTTACTGCTGTGATAAAGGCAGTGGAGGCTGGCCAATAGAGGGCGCTAGGGTGCCGCCCCATCCACCCAATGACCCTGACTAAGACATTAAAACCATATATTTTTTCATGATTTAACTTTAAGTAAATAATTAAAATATTTCAAAATATATTGATATATATTTTTAGATCTGCAAGATAAATATTTAATCATTAATGACGAGTAAAGCTTCATTCCATTTTTCATCGGACTGGTGACGTATTTCCGCCCTACGGTGCAAAAATCTTTACCCATCGACTCTCGTTAGAAGTTGTCGATGCGCAGGAGCTCCTCTGCAATAAAGAAGGATAAGAGAGTTCTGGACGCACTAAAGCTACGACCTGAGGTGACCAACGCCTTCCAGCACAGCGCAGAGGCTATGAGGGTGATTGACAGAGAGAGAGAGAGAGAAAGAAAAATGGTGCTAGAAACGTCCTTTGCCAGGAGCTGGTTTCGCTCTAAGGCTAGGCTAACTACATGCAGCGAGGCTAACTGTGTGCAGCGAGGCTAACTGCGTGCAGCGAGGCTAACTGCGTGCAGCGAGGCTAACTGCGTGCAGCGAGGCTAACTGCAAGCAGCGAGGCTAACTGCATGCGGCGAGGCTAACTGCATGCGGCGAGGCTAACTGCATGCGGCGAGGCTAACTGCAAGCAGCAAGGCTAACTGCGTGCAGCGAGGCTAACTGCAAGCAGCAAGGCTAACTGCGTGCAGCGAGGCTAAGGCTTTATCCTGCTTTCCCTGCCTCCTTTTTCAAACATCAGGATCAGATCCAGCAGGGATAAAGACAGCTAGGACTGATTTAAAGCACTTTATAGAAAAAGCAAAGAAGAATGAATAATCTGGAATTCACATGGAAAATAATAGAATATAGTCGACTTTTTCTAGATGTTTGTTCATTTGCATGGTTGCTCTTAAATAAACACATTCTCAGAAAATAAACAGTTTTGATATGATAAAATATAAAGCAAACTAATAGCTTCTCCATTATTAAACTGATAAATTATTTTTTTAGGTTTGTGACCCAATATTGGACCATGCAAAACACAGATTTACCTTCACAGCCTCAGAAGGGAAAGATTTATCTACAAGATGTAAACCTGCACATTAAATTATGTTCTTTTTTTTTTTAAGCGTTTTATAATGTTTTTGTGTTGTTGGCATTCATATAAATATACGGGTGTGATAACTTTGATTGGTTATTGGTCTACGTCTATATTGACTTTATAGCGCCCCCTGGATAAAACTGGCCCAGTTAAAGGAGGACAGGAGACGACAGACCTTGTTAGCAGGGAGGCACTGCAGCAGAACCTGAGCGGGATCGGTCTTCCGCTGGAGGACCAGGAACTGGACTTTGAACTGTTTCAGACGTTGATAGACCTTTCTGACCACGCCGCTAACGCAGCGCTGCGTGGTGTACCACAGCCAGTACCTGTTTTAACGCAGATAACGCACCGTCACAGAACCACAGCCTGGAATCCACAGCAGGGTGACTGTAAATTCATCAACCAGCATGGAGCCTTACCAAGAGAAATGCGTGATGTAGAAAACGGCGTATAGATGGGTGACATACAGAGACACCTGTGACGTGATGTCAGTCCAGGTTTGGGCAGACGGATCTCCGTGAAGCAGATGTAGTCGGGACAGATCAGCCGTATGCCCTGTAGACGCACTGCAGACGTTAATGCATGCTAAAATATTCTGCTCATGCATGTGTGTGAAAAACCAGTTCAGCTGCCTGTACCTGTGACTCCTGGTGGCAGAGGGATCTGGACTTTAACTGGCTGCAGGAAATGCAGCGAGGGATTCTGGGAGAGACAGAGGAGGGGACTGACTGTGGCCTGAGGGTCACCACACAGAGCCTGCAGCTCTGACTCACAAACCTGCAGCACCTGCAGAAAGAGAGAAGCATCAGGGATAATAGAGTCCGCCCCGTCCTTCCGCTGCTGTGGCAGGGTTTACCTGTAGAGTTATAACACGAGTCTGAGCAGTGGAGTCAGGAGGGAAGTCAAGCTTTATTCCAGAGTCTAAGCTGGACACCAGAAGAGCTCCTGATGGAGTAACGGAGCAGGTATCCCGTACAGGTCTGGACACCGCTATAAACCAGGAGAAGTGGCTCACTGAGGAGCACGCCAGCTACAAACACAAATCACAGATATTCACTTCCCCCAGGAACACACATGATCTCTGTTCAAATAAGACAATCTTTACCCTGGCAGGGCGTCCCCCAGGATGACAGCAGTTCTCCTCGTTTCCTCTCCGAAGGTGAGAGGTCAGAGTGCTCCACGACTGGCCGTCAAACGTCCGCAGCACCACCTCCCCCCGGCTTCTCCGGTGATACGGCACACAGACCTCCACAGGCTGCAGATCAATCAGATGAAATCAACATTCCTAAACTCCCAGCAAAGTGAAAAATGTTGAGCTTGACAGACTTTTAATCCTATGTTTTCACTTTTTCTTTAAACAAGCAACCTTTTAAAAAGTACAGCACCTTTCATCACCTTCCCATGAAATCATCATTTATATAAGCTTAGAAAAGCCTGTATTTCTGTTACAGTGGCATTAAGAAAAGAGGCAATCCTCCAGACTGGACTATTGCTTCTCCTCATTGGGATCCCTAAGAGAGTCTGCAGAGGCTTCAGTGCATTCAGAACTCTGCAGGTAGGATCCTGATGAGAGACGGGATGATGAGACGGAAACATGAGCACTTTACCGCCGTTCTCTACACTGGATTCCCATCTCCACCTGGACTGAATACAAGGTTTCCCTCTTTACAGATCAATGCATCCATGGACATGCCCCCCCCACCACCTTAAAGAGCTTATCAACGCACAGAACACAACCTGCTCCACTTTCCCAGAACCAGACTCAGGACGATGGGAGATGGAGCATTTTGTGCTGCTGCCCCACATCTGTGGAACGCCCCCCCCCTGACGCCCAGTATTTAAAAAAGGCCTTAAAAACATTTTTTAGCAAACTTTTGGGCCCTTTAAATGTTTTTTTCTCTCTTTTTAAAACAGCTTTTATAAAAAAAATTGTCATTATTATAATTTCTTTATTTTTATGCATTTCTTTTTTAATGCTTTTATTTTTTGTAGTACTTGGAGGTCTTTTTAATGAAAAGTGCAGTATAAATCAAATATATTATTATTATTAAGTTGGATTAATAACTCAGCATTTTTTAGGGAAACTATTTAATGACTTTAGAAATGGATAAAGACAACAGAAAACATCAACAGAGATAGTGGCACAAACCGGAAGTCCAAACCTCCAATAAAAAGAAGAATCAAGACCTTGTTTTTGTTTGGGAAACATGCAAATAGAAACGGACGGACGAGTCCAGAGAGAAAGAATTGTTGAACTGGCTGAATACTATTCCCTCTAACAACCCCCCTTTCAGAGACATAGACAGGTATGGGGCATTGCAGGCTAACAAAGAAGCCAAACCCCCATTCCAAAGGGGGGGACCCGTTCATCCGTTTCTATTTGCATGTTTTCTAAACTAAAACCAGGCTTTGTTGGGCTGCTGGATAAAACCTGGAACTAAACGCTATTTCTGACATTTTGGATTGAAAAATCTTCCTGGATGGAAGAGAAACGTCTTCAGACTCGGAAACAAAGTCCAGAGGATTGATTTTTGAATTCAAGAGAAAAGAACAAAACAGCAATTAATTAAATATTTGCTTTGGAAATGTTTTAAACTCCATATTAGCTAGGGAACACGGTCCCAGACTTTTCCATGCTGTGGCCCCTCAGACAGAATTAGCTCTTGTTGAGGGGCCCCTTTGCAAACTAACAGGTAATGCTTCAAAACATGTGGGAAAAAAACAGCTTTTGGATTATTTTTCTTAGTTTCTCCCCTATTAAGTGCTAATTACATTAGTTTAGCATATGAATATTCACTAACATGTTTTTTAGACTGTATTATATTCTCATTAGGGCTGATTAAATCCACAGGCTCTCAAACCTTGACACTGAATAGAGACTTTTAACAAACTGTTGATTAGAAGAACAGACTGACATAAATTGGGAAGTTTGGGGCTTAATCAAATCCACTTTATTTAACAAAATAAATATTTCCAATGTGCAGTGCATAAAAACAAACAAAAACCTTTTAACATATTTAACTAACCGGGAAACTTCAGAAAGTTGCTTCGTCTGATTTTATCTAAAAGCCTCACTTTCAAATTTCCCTTTTCTGAATATTTTTGTAAAGTTCTGTCCTCGTCTGCATAAATGTCATAAACTCTCCTCAATCATTTCCTACCTTTAGGAACCTGATTCCATGAGGACGAAGTTCCAGCGGACGACTAAGCAGGACGTCATGCTCCTCCAGCCACACCCACTTCCTGTCGGGCCTTTTCTCAGCCCACCTCAGTTTGGTGGTCGCCGTCAGGCATCTGGGGGGGAACACCAGCTCTGCCCCCCCCGGCAGAAACACATGACACCCAGCAGAGGAGACAAAGAAACTAAAGAGCAAAGAAGAAGGAAACGTTTGCTGAGAGGCTGCAGGTGTTGGTCTAGAAACTAGATGCCGTCACTGCAGAGCTGTACCTGTGCTGGTTGAATCGCAGGTGTAACTTTGGGACTTCTGCGCCTGTAAGATCTGATAAAACACAATAATGATGACAAAAACCATCAAGTTATGCAATAAAAACAGCTA